GAGGGATATTTATATTTGTGCTCTTGTGCACAAATTGCTAGGGAAGTTAACATGAATGCTCGAATTGTCCAGCGAGTTCTCAAAATGAATGGGCATCGATGTTTTAAGATACAACCAACACAAGAACTGTTTCCGGAAGATAACTTTAGTCGGATGGAGTTTTGTGAATTTATGTTAAATAATCAAAATGAAAATGTACACTTTTTAAAAAATATTTAATTTTCTGACGGATCTTCATTTTCATTACATAAAAAACACAATCCATCCGTTGCAAGGTATTAATCTCGATAAATAAGCATCTCAGTGTTGCATATGCAGCATCCGCAAAAGTTAAATGTTTGGACTGGGATGTTAGGCGACCATATTGCCGGTCCATTTTTTATCGATGGAGACCTAAACGGGCCCAAATATTTACAACTTTTACAGAATGAGATTATTCCGGCAGTTCAACGCCTTCCCGTTAATTTTCAGGAGGTTTATTTCCAACAGGATGGGTGTTCGGTTCACAACTCTAGAGCAACTATTGACTTCCTCAATCAAACGCTTCCTGATCGACTGATAAGTACATGTGGTACAATTAAATGGCCCTCTAGATTCTGTGACTTAGCGCCTAACGATTTCTTTTTCTGGTGTTTTCTTAAAGAAAACATTTATGGGCATAAGTTTTAAAGGCCAACAAACCTAGTTGAATTAAGGGCAAAAATACTTCATTTCTCTGCAAACAGTACACCAGCCCTACTCCAAAATATGAGAAGAAATCTATGTGACAGATTTGGGTACTGTTTAGTACAAGGAGATGGAATATTTGAGCCCTTTATTCATTAATCTGCTTTCCTAATTTTTACTTTTTGTTAGGTACATTTTAAGTTTGAAGGTTCTAAATTAGGTAGTAATTTTTATGTTTAAGTTTGAAAGAATTTTATTCTTTTTTTTTTATTTAAAAGTACAAATGATCGTTATTCTTATTTTTTCTTCTTTCTTGTCTTATTGTTATAAGCTTTATCTATAAAATTTGTTCAGTTTTCAGTGACAATAAAGCATATTACTTATTTACTTACTTATTTATTTGTATTGGTATTAAGGCAAAAAAAAAATATCCATTTCAAACCATTTTAATGGACCATTTCAACGAGAACTTCAGCAATTTTCATACATTACATTCCCCATGGTTCCCCTCATGGTTCCCCAACAATGGTCATCGGTACCTTATTTTTCCAACCTTCTTTTTAATTAGATTTATAAATAAATGGACTTTTCTATTCTGTCCTGCATAAACGAGTATTTTTGTCATCTAGTTGATTTTTCGTACAAAGACTGATTTCCACAGATAGAAAGTTATATAATTTTTTTTTCTGAAAGTTATAGAGTTTTGATTTGAAATCTTAATTTATATTATATATACCACTTATTTTTGAAGGTTCACGCACTTAAAACAGAATTTTGATAATAGTTATATGAGATATTTTTATTGAAAATATTTGAGTGTGTATTTATAATCATATATTTTTTTATTATTAGGGTATTCTTTGGACCTTACCTATCATATGTAAAGCATAGATATTGAAGCACGAGTATAACCCTGAGATAAAAAAACTAAATAGTGTGATAGAATCATAATTGCATCATTTAAATAAGTTTATTTAGTTAATTCATTAGCTAATTAATTGCTTGGCTCACCTCTGACTTTTATTCACATTAACTGGCTTCCAAAACGTGGGGCTTGAAAATATTACAGCTGTACATTTGATGGTAGGGAAAGAGACTCGGAATAAGTGCAGGTGATCCAGAGATTAAAAAAAAATAACATTGAGGGAATTTGAATTTGAAATTATTTTGACAATTTTTCCAGTGGATAAAAATTTGATTTATTGATTGATCGTAGTTACTGGATATTTACTATTTACTGCTATTAAATTATTTGATTATTATTGTCTTTACCAATCGTACATTTGATATTTATATTGAATTATTTAAATTTTACTGATTGCATATTTGATATTTGTCGTGAAAATTTATTAAATTTGGGGAGAAATATTTGTCGTGTTATGCCTCCTACGTAGGTAGAACATGCAGATCATTATCCTCACGTTCTCTAGAACACAAAAAAGAGAAAATACTTCCATTTTCTCCTAACATCTCAAAGAACATAACCACACCCTCAATATCCCAGAAGACGTTTCACTTATCCACAATATTCCCCAAAAAAATTTCCTTAAATTAGATTTATATGAAGACCTCGAAATCCTAAAAGAAAAACAAAAAAGCCCAAATTGTGTCAATCGTCATGTATCTTTCAATCGAGACTTTCTCCCTCTCCATTGCCAACTATTCTCATAATCTTCACCCATAATTCACCCTTCAACTAAAATCCACATTGATCATTACTTGTTCACCTCACTTATTTTCATTTCAATTTTCCAATCAAGATCAGTATACACCTTCACCTATTTAAACTTATAACTTACCCTTTAATATTTCTTTTGTACCTAGTGTGGCTTTATGACAGATAGGGCTTTTTCAAGTTATAAGTTGAGTACTATACGATCAACACACTACAAAACTATATCCCAACCATCAAATTTCAGTCCACTCTAAAACTTTTATTTCAACACAACATTCTCTTCAACTCTTCCCTCTTCTCTTCATTTAAAACAGACTTCAAGTCCAACCCTATATATCTAATATTACCCATGCTTCTAGTCGGCCACCCTCCAAAATTCTAGACTATTCAAAATCCCCTTCCAACATACACTTCAGTCATCTTTTTATACTTCCATACATTTCCTTTAGAGTTTGGTAGCGGATCTTTGGTGATCTCAGCTTTCTGTAGTCGTTCCATATATCAGTATACTCCCAACAAACACCACAATTTCCTTTTTACTTAATTTGAATATAGCTATCAACGACCTTTTCAATTTTAAAGTTAGGGTCAGGTTACACACCTTCATCATTCAACTTATAACTTATCCTCTTAATTTTTCTCATGTACCTAGTGTTGCTTTATGACAGATAGGGCTTTTTTAAGTTATAATTTGAGTACATACTATAAGACCAACATACTACAAAACCTTGCTCCAACCATCAAACTGTGTTTTTATCATATAATAGTTCAACGAACACCTCAAGACCCTCATATCCATTATGAATAAAATTAAACCACACAACTTAGTCATCAGTAAAGATGACACAATTTAAAAATTTTTCTCGTTCTACTCAATTTCAACAGAGCCAACCACTCCATCAGCACAATTAAAGTCAATTTACATCTACAACTAACTCAACTTATAACTTATCCTTTTATAATTTACCTGTACCTAGTGTTGCTTTACGACAGATAGGACCTTCCTTAAGTTATAAGTAGATTACTATAATATCAACATATTACATGACCATGTCCCAACCATCATATAAAAATAATTTTGTTCATTTCATACAATAGTAAACACAATAAAACCTTCACACCATTTAGTATGTTACGATCTATTCAGACATTTATGTTCATGAGCATATAACTTAAAAGTTTCACATTTACCAGGTACCAAATGTTGTTTTTTGACATACAGGGCCTCTTTAATTGAGTTATAAGTTAAATATCATGTGAACATTATACTAAAAAAGTTTTATTTTATTCTTTCAAGAACACTTTCAGTCTCAATAAATACATCCATATCTAACCATTATCAATAAAATTTCTAAAACTCAACCTGCCACATGTGTCTAGTTTTTATTTTCTGGGTACCAAATGTTTGAGAAACATAAAGGGCCTTATAATTAAAACTTTTTTCACTACACACATGTATAGTTGGTTGCCTACCTACAACCACATAATTTTTCTTTCCACATCCCATCTCATATACATAAATTTAAAATAACAACATTGATGGTTGATACTGTTATATTAATTTATTTTATTTTCACAATTTCAAATAACGGTGGCTTTTGTCTTAAGTAGAAACATATAGTTATATTGAATGCTCTGTTACAACTTCCGTCATAACTAAACAACATTGTCATTAATGTCATTGCCATTCAGTTGCTCCCATACAGTCTTCGTAGACACACTGTCTCAAGACTAGCAACTTCAACGTGGAGTCATATGTCGCCATGTTACCTAATCCAACGGTAACTTTAACATCTTAAACCATTATAAGAAAATTTGTAAACTAAATGTAATTAATTATTTGTTGACGGGTTTTTACCCATATATTTAGTGGCTACATTCATGTACTCTTAGTAAGTATTAACCACACTTTGTATTAACCTTAGTCAACATTTTAAACATACGTTCTTTTTAATTAACTGGTTAAATATTTTCTAGAACACTGATGATGGAGTATGGATTCCGACAACATTTTGTCTTTTTAACTTAGCCCGTTTGGGTTATAAATATATACCTTTTACAAAGGATTTTTAATAAATTACAGATATTATGGTAAAAAGTAAATACATCCAGGGAATGGGGAATTGGGAATGAGGATACAAATGATAAAGGCCTGAAACGAAATGGAGTAGCGATCTTATGTAACACGCTGGAATGATATCAATGGGACAACTATGAATTGAGACTTTACTAAAGACAATGGGATGCTTATATATAAAAGATTATAGAACAAACCTTGATAGAATAAATGCTATTGAGTCGTTAAAAATAATAAATATGTATTGTCTTATGTATACCAATAAAACCCCTACTTAGCTACTGTAGTTAAAATTTCACAGGAAAACGGGAAAGTTAGTATTACAATTCAAAAGTAATTTTTTTTTTGGTTTTACTTCTTTTAATAAATTAGTTGAAATTTACTAATCATGTTTATGCTAATGCTACTATTTAAATTATTTTGATCATAATATAATATAACCATCAACTGAACACGTCGTTTTTAATTAAAAAAATAACTCAAAGTAATTATAGGTCTACTCCCACACAAAATTTCTTTGGCATTGTTAACCTTTATGCGATCGAAATCTATTTTAATTACCAATTAGACAAACCTACTTACCGTTCAGTCTTCGATCGTTTCTCTGCCACATAATTGCATCCAATAATACTAGAATGTTCGCAGTAATCATTAAAATACTTATTGAATTTTTTCCACATTTCTACAACTTTTTTAACGCACTCTCTCCTCACATAATTCACTATCGATCGCAGTGAGTTGTTGATTTAACTATCTATCTTCTTTTCTCAATTCGTCTAAATTTAGTTCAAACGAAGCTTTGCGTCTTTAGAAATTGCGCATTATGAGAGATTTTGTAGTTGCTGTTCGGCAGTTTGCTGAAATAAAAAGAAGTTGTTAGATATTTATATGTTTTATAAATGGCGTGTTATGTAGGAGGGTTTGTGTGTTGAAATTATTAATAAAAGTAATTTATCAATTTAGATATTAGAATGGATAGGATAGGAAGATAACCTTTTTATATAATTAATAAATAATCATATCATTCTATACAAGGTTTCGGTAAATGTATTGGGAATTTTTATTGTATACTTTTCACTAAAAATAATGGCAATAAAACAGAATTTCGAAATTTTGATAATTATGAGGAATCTGAAATTCTGAAAATTTTGGTACTGGTAGAAAACATCAAATAGTACTAAAAATTATAGCTATGAGAATTTACTTGAGTTCCTTTAAATATATATGTAACTTTTGTTTTTTTTACAATGGAAGCCGTCTATTGTAAAGCGGTCGTGTTGCAACCTAATTGTACATCTTTCATTTAGTCATAATACCCATAAATATAAGGATTCTGCCATTCTTTACCAGCTTGAACAGATCTAGTGGATGGCATACCATAATATGTTTTTGAGTTACTTGGTAGTCCCCAAAAAGTGTTTGTCGCCTGCAATCTAATGATTCGCAGTTATACAAAATATGGTTGACTATTTAGAATAGAAATATGCTTTATTGTCACTGAAAATTGTACAATTTTATAGACAAAGCTTATAAAAGTTAAAAAAAGTAATACCAATAACAATTAAAATTTACTAAAATTACATAAATCCTCAATATCACAGAATAAAACATAGTAAAATGTACAATCCATTACAAAAATTTACTATAGTGCAATCTATGCATCTATGCTATGATGTTTTGTTTGTGTATGAGCAATAAATAATTTAAAATAACATATATAAGTATAGGGTTTTTATCGCGGTTCTCAAAGAATTAGTTTGTAAGTACTTTTTTAAATTATCTTTATTATAATTATTATAAAACACACATATATATCTAATATAGACAATATAAATTTAGAACAACCTATCTTAAATTTGAAATTCTTACAATAATTAAATTATATTAACAAAATTTGGTACCTTTCTATCACTGAATGCCTAACTGAAATTGTTTTCTAAAATAAAGGGTATAATCACCACTTAATATCTTTTTTATCAGCCTCGGTTATCCTTGTTTTTGTGAGTTTACTTTTTCCAAATATACCACGAGGTTGTAATTATCAGCTTCCACCAATTTAAATTATTTTTCTTCTTAATAGCATTTATAAATGGGTAAAATATTCTTCTTTATTTATTGTTTCTTTTTTGCTTCTTACTTACAATCTAATTTTTTCTTGCTAATAATCTCCAATCACCATATAGATATTATAATTTTAATATACTTTCAAATACTATAAAACTTTGAGTCACTGATTACTGCATACTATACTGTATAAATAATACTTTAATACTGACCACTGTATACTATCAGCTTGTAATAGTTACTGATCAACTGACTCAATTATTGACAGCTTAATGAATGCACTGTCTTACTGTAACTGTTAGCTGTCCAACTGTAACTGTCTTAATGAATCCTTGCTCCAAATTGCATTGTATTTATATCTTTTCTAGCAAATCATGTTCGAATTTGTCCTATTCCGTCAATATCTAAATATTCTCGAATATTCTTCTCCGCAAATAGGGTTAACTTCCTTCTATTAACATGTTCCATAAAATTCTTTGCTTTTATATAGAGAATTTTTGGGACATTTAGGCTTGTCAGATCAGAATATACACTTATATATAAACCAAACATCTTAAATTAATACATAACCCTATTTTACGTCCGTAATTATTATTCAAATGTCACTTATTCAGTTCAAATTCACTCATGTCATAATAACACAGACTCAAATATATTTATTATTAAAATAAAATTAAAAAAAACTTTGTAAACTTATCATTATGCTAATTTCTTATAAATACCCTCATACAAATATTTTTTATAATATTTACTAGTCTATACCTCATAAATTATTTCTTTAATTACTATTTAAGTTTCTTAATTAAAAATCATAATATTATTATGCTAATTTCTTCTATATCTATTATTATCTTTATATATATATATATATATATATATTATATATATATATATATATATATTGTTATGATGTGTTGTTTCTGTATGAGCTATGAGTAAATTTGAATGATATATGTAAGTATAGGGTTTTTATCGCGGTTCTCAAAGAATTAGTTTGTAAGTACTTTTTAAATTATCTTTATTATAACTATTATGAAACAAACCTATCTATCTAACATAAGCAATATCAATTTAAAACAATCTATCTAAAATTTGAAATTCTTACAATTATTAAATTATTAACAAAATTTGGTACCTTCTTTCACTGAACGCCTAAAGTTTTTCCAAAATTAAAGTTATTATCACCACTCGATATTTTCTTCCTCAGCCTTGGTTATCCAACTATTTTAATATGTTTCTTCTTAATTATCTCCACTCACCATATAAATATATGAATTTAAATCCTTGTAATTTCCCTATAATGTACTTGAATGAATTAACTTCAAAACTGTCATTATGTTACTGTGGTAATAATTAATCTCCAACTGTATTTAACTTAATAATTCATTTAACTTAATCAATGCCTTCTTCTAGCTAATAATCTCTTCATAACCTCATAAATTATTCTTAATTCTTCTTTGTAATTAATAATCACATGTAACAGACTTAATAATAATAATAATTAACTTAATTATCTTCTTGTAACTAAATTCTTGAATTATAACTTTACTGAATCACTTTACTGTAACTAACTAACTGATAACTGATAACTGACTGACTGATAACTGCTAACTCTCCTCCAAATTACATGGCTTTTTATATCTTTTTCATTGTTTCCAGAATAATCTAGCAATAAATAATGTTCGAATCATTCTATTTGTTCTATCTGAACATTCTGGAATTGTTTTTTGTCTGTGATGTATTATGCATATAGTCCCATTGACATTTCTAGATCTTTCTATTTACAATTTACTTGACTTTAGGCTCTCCAGATCAGAACTACACTATTATATGTAACTTAAACATTTATATGAAATATATTTTTACTATTCTACATCCACAATTATATTCTAAATTAACATTACAAAAATAAATAACTTTTTGACTTTGACACTACAGTGTATGTTTGGTTGCATATGCACATGGCTGACTAAACATATTAAATATTAAATAAAATAACATAAAAAAAACTTCTTAAACTTAATTCTTATGCTAAATTCTCAAAAATCCCCTCATATAATTATTTTTTAATAATATTATCTAGTATATAACTTATAAATTATGTCTTTAATCACTATTTGAATAAATTTAACATTGTATATCTGGTTGTATATATTTCTATGTTAATTTATTGCATTTCTGCTCTCACTACAATATATATATATATATATATATATATATATATATATATATATATATATATATATATATATATATATATATATATAAGTAAGAGAAAAAAAAATTATATTTATATATATATATATATATATATATATATATATATATATATATATATATATATATATATAAGAGTAAGAAAAAAGAAGTACTTGTGACTCGTTTGGAAAAAATATAACACTGTTTTTGATGGGTTGGAGTCAATAAAAGGGGCTATTTGTTGACTATTTTTTACTCGAGCTTTCAATTGTGATTACAATTTTTATCAAGAGCTTCTAAAAAATACAAAATGTCTTTTTTTTGTCAAATGTCAAAAAAAAAAAATTTTTTCTAGTTCAACTTTGTAAGACATTTTGTATTTTTTAGAAGCTCTTGATAAAAATTGTAATCACAATTGAAAGCTCGAGTAAAAAATAGTCAACAAATAGCCCCTTTTATTGACTCCAACCCATCAAAAACAGTGTTATATATATAATATATATATTATATATATATATATATATATATTATATATATATATATATATATATGTATATATGTACTTTGTTGCGTTTACTTAAACGTACTGTACTTTCTTATTTATTCATTAAGAAACTTTTCCACTGAATAATAAGGTCTTTCCGATAGACAGGCTTTTGTCAATTTAGGGAGCTTAAGGAAAAAAGTTGTAGATTTAAGTTGTAAAGGGAGATGGTTGTATAATTTTTTTGTCGAATATAATATAGAGTATAGGTATTTTAGGTTCACTGAAAAAGTCCTGCTTGTTTTCTGCAGATCTTTAGCCCTATTAGTACATAGCTGTCTTAAACATTTTGGCATGTGCTTGGTCAGATATATTGTTATAGTGTGAGTTATGTTGCCTTAGAACATAAGGCAACATAAATCACAATGTGCTATTTCTGCTGATGTTCTTCTTGCAGTTGCATCAGCTTTTCAACTGCCATATATTGCCCAGCAACCTGAAACCCATACCAGTGTAACACTGTTATGTTACGACAGTCTGTTCAGTTCTTTTTAGCATTCCATATACTAGCCTAGAGTCCAGCTTAGGATTTGTAAAAGTCCCATGACTGCTTGGCTATCTGTGCATATAGATCAGTTTTGGTTGAAAAACCCTCATGTTAATTTCTCTTGCAGTTAAACTTGCACTTGAAGTTAAAAATTGTATGGTCCTATTGGAATAGAAATATTTAAATATTTTCTACTCGCTATTATTTTTGCAGTTTTATCCAATTCTTTTGCAGTTTTAATGCTGTCCGTATACCATGTATATCCCTGCAGTCTAAGTTAAGTGTTTCGTCTGCCCCATTCCTCTCGTAAAATGTCTACTTATAAAGATACTTTTAGCCTATATATCTGTTTTTTTATGGACAGAAATCATTATCCATTTGGTGTCCCAAATTTAATTTTTAATGTTACTATGCACTGATCTAACAGGTACGTTGTTCAGGTTTTA